TCCCCTCCAGAATTCTCTCAGCTCACCTCTGTACATCTTTACTGTGATATGTTTCGTGGTTTTACACTTGAATTTATCTGTAAGGCTTAATTTCCCATTCCATTTACTTTAATGTTAAAGGGTATACATTGTCCTTAATTGGCACTGTAGAGCACATCTCTCCCGATGACTGATAAAGAATATGGCCTTGTGTTCCCTGGTGCCACACTGTTATGAAAAAGGACACTAGGAAGACTGTCAGAGGTTATGCAGTCCACACTTACCTCCATCACAGATTCTTAAAATATACAGAATATTAATCCTGGTATACATATATAAATCATACATTTTTATGGAAAAGAACAGAGATTTTCTAAGATCAAACAAGCTTAGAAAATGTTAGGCGAGGAGGAATTCTTAGGTACTTCAAAATGCTGATGTACACCACCAATTTCAAGAGAAGAATGAAATATGTAGCACCATTCAGTTAGCTGAAAACTTTTGGGGGTAGCTCCCTAGTAACAGTTCAAAAGAACATTCTATTTTTTTTAATTACCCACCAGCGGTTTTCTAAAGTTGATCTCTGAATCAGATCAGACTATTAAAAAACTGAGTTATTAAATAGCTTTTTAAAGACTCCTACTTTAATTATTTTTACTTATTTACCTTTCGGAACTGTACATTTTTCTTATGCTACAAGAACTGGATAAATCATGCTTCTATTGAGACCTGGTGTTTACTGAAAAAATATTGAAAAAAATGCTTTGAGTTGTGTTTGGTTCAGATCTACAAAAGATACCATTTCATATTCCTGCCCAGCAGAAGACCATTGTCTATCATTTTTCTAATTAATAAAAGTATTTATAATTTATACAGAATTTATTGTGTCCAATTAATGTTATATAGGTAACAACTTAAACAAACACAAGTCAAAAAAAATCATAAGGATTAAATGAACCAAAGATGTTTTATGTACTTCAAAGCTGACTGTTTCATTTTGGAGAGATGGATGAAAATGTTTGTATTTAACACTGATAAATAATTTAGAAAAAAATTTCCGTATTGACTAGTGCAAGAAGAACTTATGACTATTTCAAGAAAATTCTTAAATGTGTCAATATATAAGATTCTCTACAGGGACAGGGGTGTAGCTCAGTGGTGCTATCCCTGTCTGGCAATAATATTTTAGAGGACGCATCCATTTACTCTTGGATTTTTTTTTTTTTTTTTTTTTTTTTTTTTTTTTTTGGTACTGGGGATGGAACTTAGGTCCTTGCATTTGCAAGGCAGGTGGTGGAACCACTGAGCTAAATCCCTGGCCCATCCATGTATTCTTTACGATCCTAAAGTTACTAACATACAAATGTTATCTGTCTCCCTCTTTGGGACCTTAAACTTCTTAAGCACTTGATGTAATAGGATTTTTTTTTCTCTTATAATTAACACACTAAGTCCTACAAATATTGTTAGGTTTGTAATTTTCATTTCCATCCTTTTTAAACTATGGATACTTTATTAATTACAATGAATATGCTTCCTTCAATTGATTATAAACCCCTGGAAAAACAAAGAAAGCAAGAGTGTCCTTTGGAGCTTCTCACAATAATTAGGAGATAATTCTGACATTTAGTGAGAGAGAGAGTCAAGTTTGCTAACCAACTTGCCTTGTAAAATACAATTTTATATAATAAAATATTATCCAGCCAAAAATGCAAATAATCTTCCTCTTAAGAAACACTAGACACAAAAAAGTATAATTATGATATATTCTAAAATATGAGGAGCTTTATTATTACATGGACTATCATTGAAACTTGACAACTTGACTATAAAATACCGAATAATGAAGGACCAAGGACATCAAACCAGGTTTGATGAAGAGAATAAAGAAATGTATGCTTCCAGGTATCTACTTCTATGTAAACCACTGTAACCAAACTATATACAAGAGAAATAAGAATAGGCAATTCAACCCATAAAACAGAAGAAAAAGTCCAGAAGCAAACACATGTACATATGGAGGCAATTACATAGCCTGGGTTATTATTTTCTAAATCACACTGGGACAATTAATCATCCATATGAAAAACCAAAATACAGGTGGACTTAGTGGTGTACTGGAGCGAGATCAAACCAGTCAACTGCTGAGTATTCCAGAGTTTCAAAAATATGTCGTTAAACTACTGGTAGCTGGCAATCAGCCACGGTGTGGGTGTCTGAGATACAGGAAGCAGCGAAGGTTACACCAGGTCTCCTCCCCACTCAGAGCCAGTTTATCAGCACATCACTGATTGCATTTCTACCTCGTACCATACACAAAAAATATCAGTTGTAATGGATGAAAAATCTAAGCACGAAGAGTAAGCTTTATGACACAGAGAAAACATACAATGGACAATATCTTTAAAATCATGGACTGCAAAGCATTTCTCAACAACCAGTAACTCGAAGGACAAATTTACTAAATATGACTATATAATTATAATTTTTAAAACTACACTGAGGAGTTGTTAAAGGATGCCATTTAAAAAGTAAAAAAAGTTTGATCAGACTGGGGGACAACTGCTACTCATCTGACAACGGATTCATATTTAAAAATATATTAAAGCCATCTACAAATCAATCAGGAAAAGATGGATAACCCATCTGAAAAGCAACAAACTAAAGGATATTTGATAGCCAATAAATAAAGAAAAAAATCTCAAGTAGTTATCAAGGAAATGCAAATCGATAGCACAGGCATTTGTTTTCCCAAGTTATTTAAAATGTGATAAACTCTAATGCTTGCAGCGAGGTGGAGGAACTCATACAATGACGAGGAAAGTGTACACTGGGAGACCAGTTTGCACTGTACAGCCAGCAAACTGCAGATGTATAGCACAGATTGTCAGTTGGTCCCTAACCTTCATCCACTATTACCACTTCTTGAGGAGGAGGAGGTGG